TTTTCCTTGTTTGATTTCCAGTCTACGGGCTTCCCATGTATTTTCCAACACGTTTCTTTGGTGTGACCTGGGCGACGGCAATGATCACACCATTGTCTTCCTTTTTTCTGCCGAGCATCATAGGAAGAAGTGGATCCACGGGAGACAAGGGCCGACCCTTCTTGAGTATTAGTGGTTCCTTGAGAGACCAGGGCCGATCCTTCCGGGGTGTTTGAGGATGACCGAGTACCCATCATCAATTTCTTCCTGCTTTCTTCTCTTCTCACCTCTGAGAAGGCTTCTCGAATTGTTGGAAGTGGCTTGGTACCCAGGATTCTCCCCCTTACTTCATCTAGGGATTTGTCTAATCCCAGTAGGAACTTGAACACCCTTTCTTTTTCAATGATCTTCTTGTACCGGCTTGCATCTCCAGGGGACTCCCAATCCAGATTCTCAAACACATCTAATTGTTGCCACAAACGACTAAGAGTGTTATAGTATTGAGTCACAGTCATCTCACCTTGCCTTAGATCATGCAGAGCTCCCTTGATATCAAACAGATCAGCGGTATTGTCGCTGTCCGAGTAGGTTTCTTTTGCTGCTGTCCAAATCTCATGTGCAGTATCATAAAACAGAAAATTTTGACCAATTTCTGTGTCCATTGCATTGATCAACCAAGACATAACCGGATTGTTCTCAGTATTCCACACCTTGAACTTCTTATCATCCTTCTTCGGTGGTTCTGTGGTGCTGTAGAGGTATTCATCCTTACCTCTTCCTGTGATGAACATCAAAACAGCCTTCGCCCATTGATGGTAGTTGTGGCCGGTTAACTTGTGCCTTGTGATGAGAAAAGACGAACTTTCTGCTCCACCATTGCTCACGAGTTCTTGGCCTGATACCGTTCCAACGACGCTCCTGCTTGTTTCTGAGGCCATAGAGGATGAACTACTGCCTAAGAGACTTTATGGAACACTGATTTGGAACGAAGGAGGATGCTAGGTTTGCACCTAGAAACCGGGGAAAAGAAGGAGTAAATATGGTTTCAAGTTTCACCAGAAAAAAGGATTAGGCTGTGTTCTGGTTTGCATCAGAACTGAAAAAAAAAAAAAAAAACTGGTCCAGGCAGCCTTGCTCTGATACCATGAAGAAAAAACAGAGAGAGAATTTTTCTTAGTTTATTTCATCATCCGAAACATACATTTATACAGAGGAGGAGATTACCAACAGCTGGTAATTCCTTGATTTACTCCGTCAAATCCTACAGAAAAGGAAAACTAATTAGCTAGTTATGGAAACTAATCTACAGCTATTTACAGCCTAGTAGATCTCCTATTTACAGCCCATTACTGTCTAATATCTCCGGAATTCCACAGTTTTCCCATACCGGTGATCGATGAGCTCCTTGACGAATTGCATGGCGCCTCCATCTTTTCGAAGATCGATTTGAAATCAGGCTACCATCAAATCCGGGTGTGCAGCGAGGATGTGTCGAAAACAGCCTTTCGCACCCACGAGGGACACTACGAGTTTTTGGTCATGCCCTTTGGGCTCACCAACGCCCCGGCGACTTTTCAATCCTCATGAACGAGGTATTTCGCCATTTTCTCCGGAAATTTGTTTGTCTTTTTCGATGACATATTGGTGTACAGCTGTACCAGAGAAGAGCATGCCCTGCACCTCGACGTGGTGTTGACGGAACTCTCCAAACACCAGTTGTACGCAAATGCCAAGAAATGTTGCTTCGGGCAGCCGGCTCTCGAGTACCTAGGCCACATCATTTCCAAAGAAGGGGTGGCCACAGATAAGGCCAAGATCGAGGTGATGATGAGTTGGCCGATGCCAACTAACCTTCGGGAACTTCGGGGGTTCTTGGGTTTGACCGGTTACTACCGGAAATTTGTCCAAGGGTATGGGACAATTGCTTGGCCACTAACACAACTACTCAAAAAGGACAGCTTCGTATGGACAGAGGAGGCCACCGAGGCCTTTCAGAAACTCAAGACGGCCATGACCACTGTCCCCGTATTAGCCCTACCAGATTTCACCCGGGGGTTTGTCATTGAGACAGATGCTTCAGGCGTCGGAATTGGGGCAGTTTTGATGCAGGATCAACGTCCCATCGCCTTCTTCAGCCAAGCACTCTCCACCACAGCTCGCCTCAAATCAGTCTACGAGCGGGAGCTTATGGCCATCGTGTTGGCGGTTCAAAAATGGCATCCATATCTCCTGGGCAGACACTTCGTTATTCGCACGGATCAAAAAAGCCTGAAATTCTTACTGGACCAGCGGGTGATAGGTGAGCATCACCAGCGTTGGATGTCCAAGTTGCTGGGTTTCGATTTTGAAATACAATACCGGCCTGGCCTGGAGAATAAGGCAGCGGACGCACTCTCACGACTGCCCAACGCCGCAGAATTCAGACTCCTTTCTATTCCTATTGAGCTGGATTCCGAGGAGCTCACCCGCCACAATGCCTCGGATACTAGGCTATGCCGTATAGTGGAGGACCTCTTGGCAGACTCAGCATCCCACCCGGGCTTCTCCTTACAGCAGGGACGCCTCATGAAAGAAGGCCGGATAGTACTCTCTCGGGACTCCAGCTTGTTGGCCGGACTGCTAGGTACTTACCATGATGGGGTAGTAGGGGGACACTCAGGCGTGCTCAAAACTTATCGGCGCTTGGCAGCCGATTGGTACTGGTTCGGTATGAAGAAGGACGTTGCGGATTATGTCACGAAGTGTCGAGTCTGCCAACAGCACAAATACGACACCCTTGCCCCTGGGGGTTTGCTGCAGCCCCTTCCCTTACCTGACAAAGTATGGGATGATCTTTCGACGGATTTCATCGTAGGGCTGCCGAATTCAGAGGGGTATGATGCTATTCTTGTCGTGGTTGACCGCTTGAGCAAATATGCTCACTTCATTCCACTCAAACACCCCTTCACAGCCACAATGGTGGCGGCTGAGTTCCTACGCGGGGTGGTCCGGTTGCATGGAATACCCCGCTCTATAGTGTCGGATCGCGATCGAATCTTCCTCAACAAATTCTAGACAGAATTATTCAAGTAGCAGGGCTCAACACTAGCCCGGAGTACGGCCTATCATCCTCAAACGGATGGCCAAATCGAGGTGGTGAACAGGTGCCTGGAAACATATCTGCGTTGTTTTTCTTCCGAGACCCCCCGCCAATGGTCCAAGTGGCTTCCCTGGGCAGAGTATTGGTACAACACGTCATTCCACACGCCCCCCCCCCCCCCCCCCGGTTCGTTATGGAATCGGTCTCTCCCCGGTGGCCACGGTCGATCAGCAACAAGCAGATCGTGATGCTACCTTAGACATCCTGAAGCAACAGCTGCTGCGTGCCCAACAGAAGATGAAGCTCCAGGCCGATGGCTCACGCCGCGATGTCTCTTTTGAGGAGGGCGACTTGGTGTACCTCAAACTTTGACCTTACCGGCAGAAATTGTTGGCACAGCGACGTCATGAGAAACTTGCGCCTCGTTTCTATGGGCCATATGCGGTGTTGGCCAGGATTGGCCCCGTGGCTTACTGGCTACACCTGCCTGCGTCCGCGGCAATCCACCCCGTATTCCATGTATCCCAGCTACGGCGGGCAGTGGGGGCTACAAGGCTAGAGGCCGCCCTACCACCTCAGCTCACCCCAGACATGGTTCTCCAAGTCCAGCCAGTGGCACTGCGGGGAGTTTGCCAAGCCTCTCGAGGGACTACAACAACGCTGGAAGTTCTTATCCACTGGGAGTACCTACCGGATCATGAAGACACTTTGGAGGACTACGACCGCATCCACGCAGCCTTTCCAAAATTCCACCTTGCGGACAAGGTGCATCTTTGGGCCGGGGGTATTGATGGGCCCCCTAGACCTCCACTACGTTTCACTTACGCTAGGAGAAGGCCCAAAGTTAATCAGGGTGAGGTGGCAGTAGAAGATGTTACGAAGAATGGTGAGGTGGAGGCTGACATGGAGGGAGCAAGCAGCATGGGAGAAAGAGTTGCTGCTGGGAATACGCATTAGCTCACTCTTCGAGAGAAGCCTCGGGATTAGAGGGAGGAGTTAGAAAACGGTTAGCAAGGAAGAAAGGAATAAAAGGAAGAGGAGGAAGGTTGAGAGGTTACGGAAGTTGGAATTGATTTTGCTTAACGAGCTTTGCTCTAGGGAGTGCAAGGGGTCACTCGAATACCCCCACATCTCTTGTATTTTGTTCATTTCCTTCAGTAAAACTATGTGAATTTTGCTTAAGAACCTAATCAATAGATCCAGACTTATCAAAGTATGTTAGGATCCTGGTTGAGTCCCACATTGCTAAAGTATGGGCTTAGCATGTGGGTTTATAACCACTTGGGCATCCTCTCTTTACAAGCTAGCTTTTGGGGATGAGTTCTACCCAAGGGTTATAACAAAATTCTTATTAATCAGTCTGAATACATTACACTATATGGCCGGGTATATATACACTTTTAGGGAGAACCTCAGCCGGTTTTCACCCTTGATTCTAGTAACCTAAATCACACAAATTAGGAAACTAATTAACTACTGAATCAGCAAATCAGGAACCTAATCACTAATTTCTACAAATAAGGAAACTACCAACTGTACACAATCTTTCCTATTATACACACACACCGGATTTTCCACAGTTGAGACAAAAATGAACAGATTCTTGCTAATGATAATTCTTAATGCGCCATGAAAGTTTTGCTTTGCCTTTATTTTTCCAGAATTGTTTGGACAAACCAGTAGCTTTTTAATTTTTTTAACAGAAAGGTTTCTAATAAAGTTTTTTAATTTTTTCTAATAAAGGTTTCTGTTCTTAAATAAATAAATAAAAAAAAAAACAGAAAGGGGCAAAAAAGGTTACTTATCTGAAGAAAAAGGAATCTAGCTGAGTGCTATCAGGGAAAATTTGTAATTCAAATCTTGTAAAAGTATTGTTGTTTTGGCTCTTAAATTTTGCTAGGGTTAAAAGAGGAATGAGAGCTAATTTTGATATTTTATGCAGATAGTCATATGGTTTATCATACCAGCAACAAGAAGTTCGCGAACTGATCATAAAAACAATGCCCTTGCATTAATTGTTCTGCTCCAATACATCCCCAGATTGTATCTGATTTTTCCTTTAAGCTCACAAATAATAAAAGCAACTGGAGTTGTCACGAAGACAGCCTGGGCAGGCGCTGCATATAATCTATTGTTATACATGTTGGCTAGTCATGTTTGTAACTCTATGTCCCTTTTCCTATTTCTCTTAGTCCTAATTTCCTTTCCTGTGCGTTTGTGTACCCGAGGAGATTTTACTTTGTCTATGCTAATGTTTTGTTGGTAAGTTTCATAGAAAGAATGCCATTTGTATTTGCAGGTTTTAGGGGCGGCATGGTATTTGCTTTCAATTGATCGGTATACCTCATGCTGGAAATCCATCTGTAGAAAGGAATTTAATCCCGCAAGATGCAGTTTAAGTTACTTAGATTGCAATTCCTTCAACTATAAAGATCGCATGACTTGGGCAAATACTACACATGTGTTTGAGAAATGTAATCCTGAAAAAGAAATCCAGTTCAAGTATGGCATCTTTGAAAATGCAGTGGCAAAAAGTGTTGTTTCCTCAAATTTCATTGAAAAGTATTTCTATTGTTTATGGTGGGGCTTACAGAATCTGAGGTATGAATTATTTCTGTGTGAAATAAAATTATGCAGTATGATATTCATTAAGATTCTCTAACAAATGCATGAACAAGCAGTTATGATCTTGTTCTGAAAATCCTTTTTTTTTTTTTTTTTTTGTTAGAAGATGCTATTATACTATGTATTATGTTACTGTCATTTGTTTTCTATTTCTCTCTTAAAAATGTTGCTGCTTTTGGGTGGCTTGAAATTTTGAAACATGATTTCTTCTAGTGTATGGTAGGCTGGTAGTCCACAGTCTTTAGGTTTAGTTTCCAATTCCATGATTATAGGATCTACAGGAGGTTATCTTACTAAGATAACGTATAGAGGCTTGCAAGAGATGATGTTTATCTGTGCAATGGAATGTTCAAGGATGATAGGGAGCTAAAATATCCACCTGGGAATTGTTTATTTAAATATTCATTTCGGAAAAGTTAGTATAGTGATAGAATTCACAATAATAATGTCTTGAACCTTGAGATGGATTTGTAAGGAACTAGATTTATGGGACAAGAGATAATCTTTCTGCTGGCTGTGAATGCGGAAGGCAGTTCCATGTCTCCATATTATGTGGAAAGTTGTTCCTCCCTTTGTAACTAAAATGATCTTATCCTAGTTCCAGATAGTATTTATTCTACTAACCCAGTGGGTCATAATTGATTCGTAGACTGTATCTTCTGAGCTGTGCTGGTATCTGTAGGATGCTTCTCGAACATGTATTGATTCAAATAATATAAAGAATGAAGAATTGTTCTCGTTTGAAATAACTTTGAGTAGACAGTATTTACCTTTTGTTACCTTGTCCAAAAGTGTTGATAGTATGTTTTATTTTCGTATCTTCTCAGTTCATATGGCCAGAATTTGGAGACAAGTACATTTATTGGAGAGACGTTATTTGCCATCCTCATTGCCATTTTGGGTCTTGTATTATTCTCCCATTTGATTGGGAATATGCAGGTGTGGGGAAAGGCTTTTTTCCCTTGATTCTTTCCATTCAAATGACTTCTCTATTGATTTAAAAGTTTGTTAACAGTTTCTATTCCACTGTTAGTATAGAGCTCTTAGATGGGCATTTTGTAATGTAGACTTTTATTTGCTACTCTAGCATCTCTAATTGCTATATTGTATCTAGAAATTTAAGGCATCGTTCGTTTAGCTCGTTTGAGTTAAGAACTTGAGTTAATAAGTAAATTCATATGAGAGAAAAGATTGTAGCAGAAAAAGTTGAATTAGAATTTTTGTGAGAGAAAATGCTATAGCAAAAACTTGAGTTGTAATTTGAATTAACGAAACGAATAGGGCCTAAGTACACTTTTTGAAGGTGATTTGCTAGGCTACTCTCTCGTAACTGATTGCCAGAATGTGTTCACCTATCTAGCTCAACTGCTCAAAGGGTGGGTGGTTGGCTGGCTGGTTTATGTTAGAAATCGACTATCAAGAAACAAAGGAAAAGCATCCTTAGAAATATATCACTGCATATTTTGTTTGTATGCTTACAAGGGGCGCATGTATCCAAGTATGCTGTACTCTTCAAAAAAAAAAAAAAAGAAAAGAAAAGTATGTTGCACCATGTTTTTGGGTCACTGTTTGGGGATTAGATGACTACCTCCGTTGCTATTGAGTTCTAAGTGAACTGTGAGATATCTGATTTGTATTTTTTATTTGGTAATTGATTCCGAGCTTATTTTTTATTTCTCATGCATAGTGTTAAAATTTGACCTGTTTTCCTTTTGCATATAATGTTAGTAAGCTCTCTGTCTAATAATAAGGTTAGGTTGTAAAGAACTATACTCTCTTGGATATTTCAAATGAACTGTGGAAGATCTAATTTATAGCATTTCTAATTTGCTAATAAATATTTAATATTACTTTTGATGTAGACATATTTACAATCAATCACTGTGAGGCTTGAGGAGTGGCGGCTTAAGCGAAGAGATACTGAGGAGTGGATGAGGCATCGCCAACTCCCTGAAGATTTGAAGCAGCGTGTTCGGCGTTTTGTTCAATACAAATGGCTTGCAACTCGTGGGGTTGATGAAGAATCTATCCTTCGTGGTTTACCTGCTGATCTCCGCCGTGATATACAGCGGCATCTATGTCTAGATTTAGTTCGACGGGTATGACATTTAGACGTATTCCAAGCAACATTTTTGAATTGCGATGTATGTTTGTCCTGTGATAAAAGCATCAAATAGTAATAATAATAATAGTAAAATCACTATCTTTTTGTTAGAAAATCAAATCACTATCTTGGGTTTAGCATGAAACTTCACTCCTATTCCTTTGGTACCTTCCAGGCTTCCAGTTAATAACTAGGTTTTGTAAGTGGTACCGGGCCTAATTTACACCTATTAAGTTGCTTCTGCATCAGCACTTTAACCCACTTGATTTACACCTAATTTACATTTGATTTTATCATCTGCAGGTGCCGTTCTTTTCCCAAATGGATGATCAACTGCTTGATGCAATATGTGAGCGGCTTGTATCCTCACTAAGCACCGCAGACACCTACATTGTTCGTGAGGGTGACCCTGTAACTGAGATGCTTTTCATTATCAGAGGTACGCTCGATAGCTCTACCACTAATGGAGGTCGAACTGGTTTCTTCAATTCAATTACATTAAGACCGGGAGATTTTTGTGGGGAGGAGCTGCTTTCCTGGGCTTTGCTTCCAAAGTCCACTGTCAACTTACCTTCTTCAACTAGGACAGTTAAGGCACTAATTGAGGTTGAAGCTTTTGCACTGCGAGCTGAGGATCTCAAATTCGTTGCTAACCAATTTAGGCGACTACACAGCAAGAAACTGCAGCACACATTTCGCTTTTACTCCCATCATTGGAGGACGTGGGCAGCCTGCTTCGTACAGGCTGCTTGGCGTCGGTACAAGAAAAGGAAGATGGCAAAGGATCTAAGCACGAAGGAATCATTTGCTTTGGAGGAGCAAGTAGCCTACGAGACTGAGCAAGAGGAAGAAGAAGAGCGTTATTCTGGGGGTTCAAATTCTTCTCAGGCAAAATTGAATCTTGGTGTCACAATACTCGCCTCACGGTTTGCTGCTAACACTAGGAGAGGAGCTCAGAAGATTAAGGATGAAATGCTGAAGTTACGAAAACCCGATGAACCGGACTTTTCCACTGAACCTGATGATGAATAGTTGCTTGATTCAACATAAAAGTGCATAGTAAGCTACAGATTTATGTGCTAAGATTTACACTCATTTCATTACACATCATAATAGATTCATGCCTGTCTCATGTCGCAAATCTCACACGAATGCCTTGCAATTGGGTTGGAGAGACCGTTTTGGTGGTCTCTTGTCCGAAAAAGTTGCACTAAGTCTCTTGTTTGATACATGATTTTTCCATAGTTGTCAGAATAGGCATGGCTGATGGTTCTGAGTTGTCTTCAACATTTGAAGACTTGGTTCTTAAAGTCTTCTTGCTAAATCTGTAAAAGTGTTTCTCAAGCTTGCATCTCTTACATCCAATGAATCTCTTAAGCATATGTAGATCATGCATAATCTAATAAAGGGTTGTTTGGTTGGAAGGTTCAGGAGGTTTGAATAAGGTTCAGGTTCTGTTTGTAAAAAGTTTAAAATTAAACCTTTTGATGTGACATTTAAACCCTAAAAATTAAAGGATATCTAAACCCATAATCTTCCCTGGGTTCAAGGTTTGAACTCAAGTTTAAAACCCACAGTTCTAAACTAGCATAATTCAAACCCACTCCGATTTGAATCTTTTTACCAAATGAATCCTAACCTTTTTACTTAGGAAACTCTTGCGGTAAGAACCGCTATTTACCTCATCAGTAGAATTTGTTGCATTCAATGTTCCAATCTATAAATGTTCACTTTAAAGATTTATGGTGCCTGATACAAAATTGCTCCCATTGACTGATCTTTCTACCGGTATGGTACAAAAGTTCCTTTTACTTATTAGACGTTTTGTCTCTTGAAATTAGTGAATTATATCATTTTCCTTAATTTTTTCTTTTAATAAGTGAATTATATCTTTGATTTAGTGGATTTCAAAATGTTTATGCCCTTACTGTGGCATTATTGGTTGACTCGTTTCCCGCCCGGGGGATGTACGATATTCTAAATGAAATCTGGGTAACCATAAATGACCAATTAAAAAGATATCAATAAGAAGGAAATTGTCATTTTTTCTTCGTTTTTCAGTAAATGACTTATTTATTGATAATAATTATTTTTGTGCAGTAAATATGGAATTTATCAATTAATTTAGTCAGTTGAATTTTCTTGGTCAATAAATATAAGATTTATAGATTAATTTAGTAAATATAAGATTTATCAATGTAATTTTTTTAACTCAAAATGTGTGGTAAAAAATTTGGCCATTTTTCAAAACCACCCGTCTTCTAGATTGACTGACCCGTTTTTTTTAATCTTATTTATTTCAGTTAATTAGACTATACATGTGGTTGTTAGTTTTTACTATTTTATTTCATTCCCTTTGATTCTTATCATTTTGAAGTGGTATAAAGTCTACATTATAATCCTTCAGTTAATCACTGATTAATTATACTTAGTTAATCGGTGATTAATCATATTTGATTGTCTGGGGTAAATTATCTTTTTTGTATATTAAAAATGATATGTTTCAAACTTTACCATAAAAATGGAGAATCGAATAAAACTACTCATAAAAGTGGAGGGTACAATTTTTATTGCGACTAAAATAATATTCCCCCTTCCATAAAAAATAAATAAACCCTTAAAAAAAAAAAAAAAAAAAGAGAAAAGAAAAGACATTCCTTTCTTCATCTAATTACATGGGCCATAATGACAACCCAAGTAGGTCCAATTAATGTTCTAATGGACAAATAAAATGCCCAATTAGGCCGAAAAAACGACAAACAAAAACCCATTTTACAGTCATCTCCTAGTTCGACACACCTCTGTCTCTCTCTCTGCCAAGATTGGTCAAACCCGTCTATTTCTCTCTCATTCCACAGCGAGCGTTAGGTACTTACTGCTTCACACCAAGCTCCTTATACTCCTCTCTCTCATTCTTTTAATGTACCTTCTTTTAAATGTTTTGTGACATTAGAAAATGAGGGTATCAGTGAAATGCATTGTTTTGGCCATTTTTCTGTCTCTCTTTCTTTATGCAATCTATAATCTCACTCAACTTCAAAACCCATTTTCTGGATTTGGAAAAAGCTTCACCTTCACTATTCACTTTTTCATTTCCAATCTCAGTTTATATATTCACCAACCACTTGATCTTTTCCCTGCCCACTTTAGAAGGTCGCCTATACTTTTGCCTTTGCTTCATTTATTTGATTTGTTTTGTGCATTTATTTTCTTAACTTTATCTTTTAAGTTTTCAGTTTGCTGTTTTGTAGAAGTAGAGTTTAGAAATTGGTTGCTTATTTACTTGCTATATGTTGCTTCAGTTCTTTGATTAATTTTCTGCACTTTATTTAATTATTTATTTTTCACATATACCTTCAAGCTCTAATTTTTGAGAGTATATCACTCAATTTTCATGATTGGCGGGTTTTACTCTAAATGATTAAGTTTTAGTAAATTATTCCGTGAATTTGATAAAATGTTGCAAAGTGGCTCTAAATTGATGACGGTTGTTAAAATTTAGACGAAACCGCCCTCGCACGTGTTACGTGAGCTCGTTTTAAGTAAGGGAAATTTCAGTAAACGATTGGAGCATGTAATGTCACTTATTTCTTCCAAATTTAACATCATCCATCAATTTGGGTACTTTGCAATATTTATCAAATCTAGGACTTGTCAATTTAGTCCTTTCAGCAGAAAAAGAAAAAAAAAATGTCAGTTTAGTCAAGTTGAGGGATAAAAGTACCAAAATTTGAAACCAGCAACATTTTCTAGAACTTAGGCATTGGTGGTTTCATTATTTTCTATTGCCATTTTTAGCATAAAATGAAAGTTATAGATTGGCATTCTTTTCTTTGTTTTTCTTTGTAGATTGGCATATTGGCCTTGCCCTTATATGCAACAAATTTGGCCATGCCCATATATGCATTGCAACTAATAGTATATTTCCTTTGATCCAAAACCCAAAATGGGCTGAAAATTTAGTGCAGGATATTGGCTAGCTCAGATACAGAAAACAGAACTTCACAATCCCAGAGGCAGAGTTTCAATATGCTTAAAGATTGTTCATTTGAGGGGCCTTTGTTAGAGCAGTTCACATTTCCTGCAAATTCTGCTCCCTTCAACAGTTGTCATGCTTCCACCATCGTTGAGGTTAGGGGAAAGAGAGAGAGGAGAAAAATTGTTATATTTGTTGGAAGTTGTATGGTGTTTTATGGTGTTTTGTTTCACCAACAGAAGTTAACTAGATTGTTTATTTGCCATTTTTGAAGGTTGATAAAGATCATTTTTTGGTCGCGTATTTTGGTGGAGCTAAAGAAGGTGCACCTGATGTGAAAATTTGGCTACAGACATATAAGGTGAATATAATTCATTCTCTTTCCTTTTTTTCTTTCCCTTACTCTACTTTTGTGTCTAAGACCTTTTTTATGCAATATTTTCCATAGAGCATTGCTATAAGGCATCGGTGGTGCTAAGCACCATCCAATAATAGAAGGTGGGTTCCGCAGTGTGACACTTACAGGTGGGGCCCATTGTTTATTAGCGATGGTGCTTAGTACCGGTGTCCCTAAGCGTTTTTCTTTTCCATAAGATATGGAACATTGAGGGTAAATTACTCTTTTTTCTTCCTAACTATTAAAAATGATTAAGAAGTTCTTCACTTGTTTCTTGCTCTAATTTGTTGTTGAGTTTTTAGATGGTTTCTTAACCGATGTGATGGCAGAATGGCTCTTGGGAACCACCTGTTATAGCCGATAAAGAACCGAATGTTCCAATGTGGAACCCTGTGTTATTTAAACTCCCATCAGATGAGCTCCTGCTGTTCTACAAAATAGGGCAAGAGGTTCAAAAGTAAACTTTCACTCTAGTCTTTCAGCTTACAAATATGTTGGTATCTTGTACTAAACTCAACTCTCTCTCTCTTTTCCTTGTTTTTGTATATAGTGTTGACCAGTAATCTTGCTTTTTCATCTTTTTGTTTTATTTTTTTCCTTTTTCTTCTGCAGTAATTAGGAAGTTTTACTTATTCTAAAGCATGCAAAGAAAAAATAAATTAATAGAAAGAAAGCTTGGAGAGTGGACTTGTTTCGAAATCATGTTAATTCTTTGGAGAGTGGACTTGTTTTGAAATCATGTTAATTCTTCTCACGATAGTGATTTAGTTCTCGGTAATTAGGGAATAGTTGGCTAATTGATTTGCTGGGCTGTACATACTGTAAATGTGGGATTTGGGTAATTAGTTGACTGATTTCCAAGACTGATTTCTTAGTTGTCTGATTTTCTAGCCGTTTCCTTTTGTAGTAGTTATTTCCTTTTATTGTCTAAATTGTAGGAGGAATGTTCTCTAAGTCCTATCCCTATATATAGGGTGCTGCTGTACAGAGTTAAGTAGAGAAATAAAAAGAATATTGAGCAGTTTGGCTCTCTCTCATAATATGTCCGTTCTCTTCAGTCGTTCTTTTTTATTCTTTTTCTTCTACCTCTGAAAATCCACATGGTATCAGAGCCTTGCTGATATCTAAATCCCCACATGACAAAATACAGCATGAGTATGACCACAGAAAAACCTAGCTCCTCGTCCGAAGTTATCTCCAATTCTAAACCTGCAATGACAGGCTCCAATGGAGGAACCGAGACCAATAATCTGCCCATCACCAATCATAAATTAATTGGGCACAATTACCTTCACTTGTCCCAATCTGTCATGATGTTCGTATGCGGGAAGATGAAAGATGATTACCTCACCGGAGTTGCAGCGGCACCAAACAAAGATGATGCGAAATACCGAACTTAGAAATCATAGAACAATATGGCGATGTCATGGTTGATAAATTCCATGGTGAACGAGATTGGAGAAAATTTTCTCCTCTATGACACTGCCAGAGGAATATGGGATGCTGCCAGAGAAACATATTCCAGTTCTCAAAATATGTCCGAATTATTCGAGGCTGAAAGTATTCTTCATGATCTTCATTAATGTGAGTCTTCGGTTACCCAATATTTCAACTCTCTTACTCGGTATTGGCAGCAACTAGACCTCTTTGAGGTTTATGAATGGAAGTGTACCGAAGATGGAACCTTGTACAAACAGATTGTCGAAAAGAAACGAGTCTTCAAATTTTTGATGGGCCTCAACAAAGATCTCGATGAAGTACAGGGAAGAATTCTCAGAACAAAGCCTTTACCATGTATCCGTGAAGCTTTCTCCGAAGTCCGAAGAGAGGAGAGTCGGAAAAGGGTAATGTTGGGTACCCAATCAAGCATTCCAGCAACAGGAGAGGTTTTTGCCCCTACTGTTCGAGGACACCACAATGATGACAATTGGAACTGAAGAGGAAGACCTTGGTGTGACTATTGTCATAGAACTAGTCACACAAAGGAAACCTGTTAGAAAATTCATGGCAAGCCAGTTGATTGGAAGCCATCCTCCGCACGGCACACCAACAAAGAAAGCCTTGGAAATGTCGCGTCTACAACAAATGGACCTACTTCAACCGAACCTGCTCTGTTTAGCAAAGAGCAGATTGAGCTCCTTCAGAAGATGTTCAGACAATCCTTGTCCACTTCAACATCGACCACAACTTTGACTCAATCAGGTAAACCCCATCAAAGCGCTTAGTGTAAAACAGGTTACAAAACCATGGATTGTTGATTCAGGTACTTCAGACCACATGACGGGTGACGCCTCTCTTCTCATGAATCTCATAACCTGCCAAGGACACTCTGTCAGAATTGCCGATGGATCTATGTCTAAAGTAAAGGAGATCGGTATTTCTAATTCCCTTACCCATAATCTGTCCTTTTTGTTCCAACTCTTGATTGCAATCTCTTATCAGTTACTAAACTCACCCATGATGAAAATTGTATGGCTAAATTTATTCACAATCTGTGTGAATTTCAGGACTTGGATTCGGGGAAGATGATTGGCAGTGCTAGAGAGTGCTCGTGACTCTATCTCCTCAAAGAGTGAAGAATCTCCAGAAAAGCAAGTTCTCCAAGCTGTGTTAGAAATTCCGTGTTAGAATAAAGTCTTGTTGAATCTTAAATCCAATAATGATGGTGAGATTATATGTTGAATCACTATCGCCGAGGTCATCCAAATTTTTTGTACTTGGAAAAGCTTTTCCCTTCGTCATTCATGAATAAAAGTGCAAAGCTCTTTCAGTGTGAAGTATGTTAGAAATTCATATCCACACGTTTCATATAAAAAGTCACATCCTTTCTCACTAATTCACTCTGATTTTTGGGGACCGTCTAGAATAAAAAACATAACAGGGACACGATGGTTTATTTTATTTGTCGATGATCATACTCGAATCACTTGGCTATTCCTTATGAAAGAAAAATCTGAAGCTGGTCAGATATTTAAAAATTTCAATGTCATGATTCAAACTGAATTTCAAACAAAAATCCAAGTGTTGAAAACTGACAATGCCAGGGAATACTTTGCTTCAATTCTCGGTGATTATCTGTCAAGTCATGGGATTGTTCATCTAAGCTCTTGTGTTGACACCCCTCAACAAAACGGGGTGGCTGAACATAAAAATAGGTATCTTCTCGAGGTAGCTAGATCTCTCATGTTCACAACTTATGTCCCCAAATAATTCTGGGGGGAAGCTGTTCTTACTGCCACCTATCTTATCAATAGGATGCCCTCTAGTGTTCTAAATTTCAAAACACCTATCACTACTCTTCTTGAGTCATATCCACATTGTAGAATTGTGTCAAGCATTCCTTTTAAAATATTTGGGTGTTGTGCATAGAGGCAAACTTGACCCCATAGCCATCAAATGCATATTCTTAGGATATTCACCCAATCAAAAAGGATATAAATGTTTTTCTTCTATCACAAGACGATTCTACAATACTATGGATGTCACCTTTTTTGAACAATCTCCATATTATCCCAAAGCTGCCATTCAGGGGGAGAACACAGATAAATATCAGCTTTGGGATAGTATTCCCACTCAATCATTCTCTTCATCCGAATCTCCAGTAATTCCTCCTCAAATTTCCGAGAGAGTCAATTTCTTAAATTCCTCCTCAAATTCCCAAGAGTGAGTCAATGTCTCAGAGTGGTACTAAAAATAATTCTCATGCCCCAAACAGTGATCTTCGTGTTTACTCTAGAGGGGAAGAACTCAAAAGGGAATGGAGAACTGAGCATATCTTGAGCCAATCCAGGAGTCCAACCCGAGTACAGGTCACCTCTACAGTTTTCAAGGTAACACTTTTGAATCTCCCATTATTGAGCTGCCTAATACCTATGAACCTCTTATTACTGAGCAGCCTCCTAATGTGCCTTCTAATGACTTGGATTTACCAATTGCTTTGAGAAAAGGTGTAAGGTCTTGCACGATCACCCTATCTACAACTTTGTTTCCTATAAGCATCTCTCACCGAGTTATAAGGCTTTCATCAGCAATCTAGATTAGATACAGGTACTCAACTCTGTTCATGAAGGTATTCAGGTACCTAAATGGAAGGCAGCTATCCTTGAAGAAATCAGTGCCTTAGAGAAAAACAAGACTTGGGAACTCAAAGAACTACCACTAGGGAAACAGACTGTTGGGTGTAAGTGGATCTTTACAGTCAAGCACAAAGCAGATCGAAGTGTGGAAAGATTCAAAGCCCGTCGTATGGCCAAGGGATTCACTCAAACTTACGGGATTAACTATCAGGAAACCTTTGCACCTGTTGCGAAGCTCAACATAATTCGTGTTCTTCTTTCTCTTGCAACTAACTTGGATTGGCCCCTTCACCAATTAGATGTCAAGAATGCATTTCTCAATGTGATCTCGACGAAGAAGTCTATATGGACATTCCTCCTGAAATTGAATATCCTATTGCATCCAATAGAGTCTGCAAACTAAAGAAATCCCTATATGGATTGAAGCAGTCCCCACGTGTCTGGTTCGACAAGTTTTCCAAAGCTCTGAAGGAGAATGGGTACACTCAATGTCAAGCAGATCATACACTCTTTGTCAGGCAGTTCCCCACTAGTAAAATAGTCATTCTAATTGTGTATGTAGATGATATTATTCTGACATGCAATTCTACAGCTGAATTTGAGATCAAAGACCTAGGAAATCTCAAATATTTTCTAGGAATGAAAGTAGCCAGGACAAAGAGAGGCATTTCTGTGTCTCAGAGGAAATATGCTCTTGATATACTCAAAGAAATTGGAATGATGGGGTGTAAACCGGCTGAGACTCCCATGGACTCCACAGTAAAGCTCGAGATCAAGGGAGATATTGCACCTTTGGACAAAGGTCATTATCAGAGACTAGTGGGAAAACTTATTTATTTATCCCACACTAGACTGGATATTGGCTTTCCAGTGAGTGTTGTAAGTCAATTCATGAACAGTCCCACTGAAGAACACATGGAAGTTGTCTATCGAATACTCAGGTATCTCAAGATGACACCAGGAAAAGGATTGTACTTCAGTAAAAATCCTAACCAGAAGATTGAAGTTTTTGCAGATGCTGATTGGGCAGGCTCTATAGTGGATTGTAGGTCTACCACTGGGTACTGTACATTTGTGTGGGGGAATCTCGTAACTTGGCGAAGTAAGAAACAATCTGTTGTCGCTCGAAGCAGTGCAAAAGCTGAATTCAGAGCCATGGCTCATGGAATTTGTGAAGGAATATGATTAAGAAGACTACTCAATGAATTAAGATTCACAACCACTGAAGCCATCAACATGTACTGTGATAATCAAGCTGCTATGAGAATTGCCAAAGATCCAGTTCATCATGACATAACTAAACACGTGGAGATTGATAGTCATTTCATCAAAGAAAAGATAGATGGGAAGATTGTGGATCTCCTATATACATCAACCTGTCAACAAATTGCAGATGTCCTCACCAAAGCATTACCTCGAACTACATTTGAAGAGCTAAGTTGCAAGCTGGGAATGATTGATATCTATCACCCAGCTTGAGGGGGAGTGTAGAATTTCTTAGTGATTTAGTTCTCAGTAATTAGGGAATAGTTGGCTAATTGATTTGCCGGGCTGTACATACTGTAAATGTGGGATTTGGGTAATTAGTTGACTGATTTCCTAGTTGCTTGATTTCCTAGACTGATTTCTTAGTTGTCTGATTTTCTAGCTGTTTCCTTTTGTAGTAGTTATTTCCTTTTATTGTCTAAATTGTAGGAGGAATGTTCTATATGTCCTAACCCTATATATAGGGTGCTGCTGTACAGAGTTAAGTAGAGAAATAAAAAGAATACAGAGCAGTTTTGCTCTCTCTCCTAATATGTCAGTTCTCTTCAGTCTTTCTTTTTCATTCTTTATCTTCTACCCCTGAAAATCTACACACAGTTATCTTTTGGAACATAATGGTGTACATGCAACTTAGCTAGCTTTGGTGGTATACCATTCTTTTCCTTTTCCTTCTAATTTAGAGGCCTGAACTGATCCCTATCTTAGGGTTGCAGTACTACACGATCAAGAAGGTATACCCATAACTTTTGGACTGAAAAATCAAAGGGATTTAACTATTGGGTAGCTTTGTGTATTTTCCATTCTAAAAGTTTTACTAGTTTATTTTTCTCAGATCTACTTAGTGGGTGGGATAGCATATTTCATTAAGCCTTTCTGTGGATTTTGGTTTAGTAGATCTTTAGGCTTGCTTTCTGTGGTTCATAGTTTTTGTCTTTTCTTGGTGGACCACTTGTCCCCTTTTGTATTTGCTTTCTTTTTTATTTAATACAAGTTACCCGTTTCTTATAGGAAAAAAAAAAAAAGAAAAAGAAAAATGGAAGGGATTGCATCATATGCCACTTGGAATCTCTGACAAGTTTAATGTGGATCCATGAGTCTCTCCGATATTACTTTTCCGAAGCAATAAAAAGAATTTGTGGATGAATACCAAGGAAGAGGTCAAAGCCGAACATAGGACATGTTAATGTTATGCCTAGTAGCTGATTTGTGATGATTGGTTATAATTCAAATTCATGGAAGATAAACTTGGTCAACTAATACTAGACTTTGTATGAGACGTATATTTCTCAGTCATTTGGGTGATCTTAAGTGTTAGTAATAGTATTGGAGAGTGTGGTTTGGTTTTGGACATGATTTCTTTCAGTAATAACAGTCCTTGTAAGGCTCTTTAGTTGCCTAATATCACCTAATTACCTGCATCATATTTCCTTATATAATTATCCTCTTCTTATGGAGGGGGAAGAAGGGGATAATTATAAAACTCTTCAGTTGCTTGGTTTAAAATGTTCTTTTTGTAGAATCAAATATAAGGTTCTTACTTTTTCTCATTATGTCAGATGGAAACATTTGTAGTTTTCTTCAATTCTTAAAAGCATAAATTACTTTCCATCTATCTGTCTCTATTTTCTCATCTGTGGGTCTTGTTTGTAAGTAGGCATAAATAACTTTTCCAGTAAATGCATTGTCAACCTGCAGGCAGGTTTCTACATTAGCACTCTTTGCAATGTGCTGTTAAATTCAACTGCTAACCTTAGTGTAACCACGAATTTAGTTTTCTTTCCGCATTTAGCTATAGCTCTCAAAATGGCTAAGAAAGTTGGCATTAACAATAAAAGTATTTGAAAAGGTTTAAACTCGTAATAATACTTGCCATGTTATGATTATACTCTTTGGCATCTGAGAATGCAAACTTAGACTGTTTTATTTTTGTTTTGGTCCCTAATAAATGTCGGTTCAATTAACTAAAATAGATGGAGTGGATGCATGAAGCGGTCATATGATAAGGGTATTAGCTGGACAGAAAGAGAACAACTACCTCCTGGTATATTGGGACCGATAAAGAATAAGGTAATACTTGAATTCAAGTTACAGATAACTGACGCATGCCAAATTGTCATTACACTGAATCTTCTTTTTCTATTTATGAAGCTGACTTTGCTGTATTTTTGCCCTACTATTTGATCAGCCAATCCTGCTGGAAAATGGACTCTTACTTTGTGGATCCTCTGTTGAAAGTTGGAACTCTTGGGGGTCGTGGGTTGAGGTTGCAAAAACAATTTTTGACTATATTGAGTGGTTGAATTCAGTGATCTGTAGAATAGTGACTGACATGTTTTTTCACTCACCAGGTCACTGCAGATTCGGGTAGGACATGGAGAAAGTATGGCCCTATTTATGTCGAGAATGAATCTCTCAGCGTGATTCAGCCAGTCCCTTACGAGACCAAGAAAGGAACGTTGCGCGTTTTAATGCGTTCCTTCAATAACATTGGTAGAGTTTGTCTCTCGGAATCCCATGATGGTGGACAGACCTGGGGTTATGCTAAACCTACTGAACTCCCTAATCCAAACTCAGGTTAATGACTGATAGTGCTTTCAATGTCAGAAGGGCTATATGAATATTTGGATCTGACTAAACATGGCAAATTATGCCCCATCTTGTTCAAAATGATTCCAAATTTAGTTTGGATGAAGCATCTTGCCTTTTAATGGATAGAAGAGTTTACTGTGGAGCTATTGGATTTTAAATTCAGTTAATCTGTTTAAACTATGGTACAACTCTTTGGCCTCGTTCGTTTTGCTTATTCGAGTTGAGAATTTAAGTTAAAAAGTGAATTCATGTGAGAGAAAATACTGTAGCAAAAAAAGTTGAATTTGAATTTTTGTGAGAGAAAACACTGTAGCAAAAACTTGATTTGTGATTCAAACCAACGAAACTAACAAGGCCTTTTTGTTTTGGCTCCAGTTTCATATTTTATCTGGCTTATACTGCAAATTCCTCTTTCCAGGTATTGATGGGGTGAAGCTTAGAGATGGCCGACTCTTAGTTGCTTACAATACAATCTCAAGAGGCGTTCTTAAAGTTGCGTTTTCTTCTGATGATGGAGATTCGTGGCATGATGTTTTGACATTGGAGGAGAATCTACCAATGGAATTCTCGTATCCGGCTGTTATCCTGGCTAGTGATGGGTCTGTCCATATCGTCTACACATATAATAGAACACAAATCAAGGTACTAAACTCGTTGGTGATGTCCAAATTCATTTAACAGAGACAATATTCTAACTGCCCTTGTTCTTCATATCAGTTACTAAATTGTCAGCTATTGTTCTGGTCATTTTCTTTTGGCAGCATGTTGTCCTTAAACCAAATTCATGCGGTTGAGAGTGAGCAAAGAGAAGGTATATTTTCTTCTTTTGTCTGTATTATGAAGTCCAATGTTTAGCAAGCTATTGTTGCAGTAGATCGATAATGAATTATTGTCCTCCACAATCACATACTCTTCATGAATTGTAAAGCCACTTGTGCAAAAAAGTACCACCTGTATGATATCTGTTTTTTTGTTGTGTTCTTATGTCAATATTTACTTTGACCGTTTCCATATCTCTTTTCATTTATATTTATATACTTTTTGATCCATTGCAGAACATAAATGAGGAAGTGAAACCTATACTTCTGCTTAACGCACATACGTTTATAACTGAAATTATGTCTACATGATCAAATCATGATCCCCATTTGTACTACTCTTTACCACCTAGTCTGTTTTTAAATTTAATAAAGCGACACTTGGTTGAGGATGTCATTCTGTGGATGAGCTAACCCATTACTTCTTTCAGAAAGCTTTAGGCTGTGTGGTGAGAGAAAGGAAAATAGGAAGGAAAGAAAGATATATGAAGGTATTTTAGGAGAGAATTGAGCACTTTTATTTCTCTTCTAATTCTTACATAAACCGGCCTCCTTATATAGATGAGCCAGAGAATAACAAAATAAGGAAAGTAAAACAAATAAGTAAACAAATCAAAATAAACAGAAACTGCCTAATATTCTAATCCCTTGACTTTAGCTATCAATTCTCATCATTCCTCTATATTTGGACAGAATTAGGACAGCTATACATTCCTAATTTACCGACACCCCCCCTCAAGTTAGTGCATAGATGTTTATCATGCCCAACTTGCTTACAAAGAACTCAAAATTTTGTCTAAGTAGACTTTTGGTGAAGACATCGGCAATTTGCTGAGTTGTAGGCATGAAAGGTATGCAGATAACTCCATTTTCCAGTTTCTCCTTAATAAAGTGTCTATCAATCTCCACGTGCTGCGTTTGATCATGCTGTACTGGATTATTCGCAATACTAATTGCTGCCTTATTATCACAAAATAGCTTCATTGGTAGCTCCACCGGTTGGTTCAGTTCTTTTGGGATTCTCTTCAGCCAAAGAATCCTACTCCTGGCCGTAGCACTTTGCTTCTTACTCCTCCATGTTACTAAGTTTCCCCATAGACAAGTACAATAACCTGAGGTAGATCTCCTGTCCGTCACAGATCCTGCCTAGTTTGCATTAGTGTAGACTTCAATCTTCGTTGATCGCTTTTCTTAAACAGTAATCCTTTTCCTGGAGTCCCCTTCAAGTATCTTAGAATTCTATAGATTGCTTCCAAGTGTTCTTCATAGGGAGAATGCATGAATTGACTCACCATACTGACTGCAAAAGAAATATCTGGTCGAGTATGAGACAGATAGATTAACTTCCCTACCAAACGTTGGTATCGACCGGTGTCTACAGGAACTCCTTTAACTTCTCCATGCTTCGAGTTAAACTCCATAGGAGTATCTGATGGTTTACACCCACTCATTCCTGTTTCTTCCAATAGGTCTAGGATATACTTCTGTTGGGAAACTACTATACCTTTCTTAGACATAGCAATTTCCAGTCCAAGGAAGTATCTAAGAGGTCCTAGATCCTTCGTCTCAAATTCGGTGGCAAGGCTCTTCTTTAGTTTACAGATTTCCTCGAGGTCATCACCAGTGAGAATAATGTCATCTACATAGACAATTAAAATTACAATTTTACCTTTAGTAGAGACCTTCACGAACACGGTATGATCAGCTTGCCCCTGTAAGAACCCTTTAGTTTTTACAAACCTCGTAAATCTATCGAACCATGCATTTAGGGACTGTTTTAGTCCATATAGTGACTTCCTCAACCTGCAACATTTCTTCCCAAAGCTCTCAACAAAACCCGGGGGAGCTTCCATGTAGACTTCCTCTTCTAGATCTCCATTTAGGAAAGCATTCTTGATATCCAGTTGATATAGAGACCAGTCCAGGTTAACTGCAATTGAAAGCAACACTCACAGTATTTAGTTTGGCAACTGATGAAAAAGTTTCAGAATAGTCGATGCCATAAGTCTGTGTAAACCCCTTGGCGACCAATCGTGCCTTGTATCTTTCAAGTGACCCATCAGAATTGAACTTAAACACCCACTTACATCCAACTAGTGTCTTTCCTTCTGGAAGGTCCACTTTCTCCCATGTCTTATTTTTTCTCAAGAGCTCTCATCTCCTCAGGGACCGCCTCCCTCCGTTCAGGAACACCTAGAGCCCCTTGTATATTCTTAGGAACAACAACACAAGACACTTTGGAAGTAAAAGCACGGAATGATGGAGACAGACTCTGATAGGACAGATAATTTGTTAGGAACCTAATATTTAGAAGTCCTTTTCAATAGTCTTAAGGGGAGTATAAATAGGGGGTTTAGTTGTTAGGGAGGGGGAGAATCAGATTTGTAGAGAGTGTCTAGGGCTGTGCACTATTTTGGAGGTCGGGGGTCCTCGAAACCGCCCATCTATCTTGTAATTTTCCATTTCTAGTATTGTTAATGAAGCATAGATTTTCGGGATCCTAACATAATTATACAACGGGTATTTGGTACACGTTCTAGTTCCCTTCCTAATAGCAATAGGCAAATCTAGATTTTCATCAGACTCTGATATGATAGCTGGTTCAGAAGACTCAGACTCAAAAGGACTTGACTCAGACTGAGAATTACCTGACTGACCTTCATTCTCAGCATTTGCCCTTGGGTTAGTTTCTTGATTATGCTGCAAGTTGTTGGTCTTTTTCTGTCGTTCTGGATACTTCCTTGAATAGACCATCCCTTTATAACGGTTACCACCTTGCCTCGCACACATCTCCATCCCTTCCTGAGTCTGATTTTCTGAAGGCACAGAAGAACAATCCCTGTTTCCATTATTTGAGACATCACACGTTTTTGAGATAGAATCATTAAGTGTATCTTTACCATTCTCAGGTTCATTGTTATGAGCATTAGCATTAGATAAAAAATCATCTAATAACCAACCAAAGGTGGAACCCGAATCCCTCCCCCCCCTGAAGATGAGGCATGTTGAAAAATGGTTTATCTTCAAAGAAGGTTACATCCATAGAAATGAAAAATTTTTGGGATATGGGATCAAAACACTTGTATCCTTTCTGAGTTGAAGGGTAACCAACAAAGGCACATTTTTTTGCTCTAGGATCAAGTTTTCCCCTATTATTATCATGGACATGGACGAATGCTGTGCACCCAAACACTCTAAGTGGGAGATCATAGGATAGCCGAGAGGAAGGAAAGCAAGTCTTAAAGTAATTCAAAGGGGTTTCAAACTTTAAAACTTTTGAATGCATCTGATTGATCAGATATGTAGCAGTAAGAATAGCCTCACCCCATAAGTATTTAGGAACCTTTGTGAAAAACATTAAAGACTGTGTAACCTCTAAAAGATGTTTATTTTTCCTCTCTGCTACCCCATTTTGTTGGGGAGTATTATTGCATGAACTTTAGTGGACAATACCTTTCTCAACAAAAAAACCTCCTAAGATCTGGTTGAAATACTCTTTACTATTGTCACTTCTGAAAATCTTAATTTGGGTTTGAAATTGGGTTTGAATTATTTTGTAAAAAGATTTGAACATATTTTCAGCATCGGATTTTTCATTCAGAAGAAATACCCATGTAACCCGAGTATGATTATCAATGAAGGTTATGAACTACCTTTTTCCAGTTTTCGTTTTAATTCTTGAAGGCCCCCACGCATCACTATGAATTATAGTGAATGGTTCTGTGGCCTTATAAGGTTGTGCTGGAAAGGATACTCGGCGATGTTTGGCAATTTCACAAATTTCACACTGAAAAAAAGATGGATTTTTATTCATAAAAAGTTTAGGAAACAGATGTCTCATATAATAGAAACTTGGATGTCCTAATCTAAAATGCCATAACAGAATTTCATTCTCTCTAAGAACTGAAATAGAATGAAATAGAATTGAGACAAGTCTTCTGGGATTGCCTGTTCAAGTCATATCCATCTTCGAAGAAATAGAGACCTTCAACTTGCCTAGCATTGCCAATCATCTTCCCCTTAGTCAAATCCTGAAATTTACATCCAGATGAAGAAAAATTAGCAAGACAGTTTTGATCCATTGTTAGTTTATTGACTGACAACAGGTTACAAGATAACTTGGGAACATGAAGAACATTGTGGAGTGTAAAACAGGGAGAAATCACAATTGATCCTTTCCCGGCTACGGCAGAGAAAGAACCATTTGCAATTTTTACTTTTTGATTTCCTGCACACGGACTATAGGATGAGAACATTTTAGAGAAACCGGTCATGTGATCTGTTGCACCAGAATCAATTATCCACAAATCATTTGAATTGACACTAAAACAAGACGCGACTAGAAGACTACCTTTTTGAACCAGAGAACAAGAAGGATTGGAATTAGGGACACTTTGGGATTGAAGAAGTTTACAGATTTGCTCTAACTGTTCCTTTGTGAATGGTTGCGTTCCAGAGGTAGTTTCAAGCCCTGATTCGGCTGTATTGGCATGGAAACCACGCTCATCTCCCGGTGGTTTCTTCTTCCATTTGTTCGGCTTTCCATGAATTTTCCAACACGTCTCTCGAGTGTGCCATGGCCGCTTACAGTGATCACACCAAGGCCTTGTTTTGCCATTCTTCTTGTCTCCATCAGCCTCAACTTCTCGGGACAGGAGTGCTGATTTTTCTTCCTCTGGTTCGGGTTTCCCAATCATCACCTTCCGCCTCATCTCTTCTCTCCTAACTTCAGAGAAAACTGCACGAATAGAGGGCAGTTGTTTTCTTCCCAATATTTGGCCTCTAACTTCGTCAAGTTCTTGATTCAAACCTGCCAAGAAAACATAAACACGATCGTTTTCTTCTCTTTTTTTGTGTTGGATACTGTCATTAGGACACTCCCAATCATCTTCATAGCAAAGATCCAATTCCTGCCACAAAGATACAAGTTCATTATAAAACATAGTAACATTCTGGTCCCCTTGTTTGGCTTTCCACAACTTTGTTTTCAGTTCAAAAATTTGAGAAGAATTTTCGATGTCGGAATACATCTCACGAATTGCATCCCACACATCTTTGGCTGTCGGTAGAAACATGTGTGGTTTTCCAATGGCGGGCTCCATTGAATTGATTAACCACGCAGTGACTAGAGAGTTTTCTGACCTCCATGACGCCATCTTTGGATCTCCTGCAGCCGGCATGGGGCCAAGCTTCCCTCTGCCATCAA